AAACCACACAGAAAGTGGTACATTCTAATCGCTTTGCACACTTCTGTATACAAATCTTTTGTTAAATAAATGTACAATAAAATGACAGAATGCAGATTTAGTCCGTCTAATGTAGTGCTTGTCAGTACCCTAGCAATTTGCCACAAAGAAGAAAACTACCTCTTATTTTCAGTTTAAGTCTCTGTTTTAAAGTTATGTTGCAGTTAAACTTGCAGATGTAAGGAATTTGTAATTTACTGTATCAGATACTGAATGTATGTGTATATGTACACTAGTTTTGCATTAGCCTCTGTTGTTTATATAAACTGTATATACATATTTATACATGCATTTAAAAGTATTTTAAACTGTATTAAATATAAAGATATTATGTTGAAGCATTTCCTGTGTCGGTCTCTTTCTCTTCCTAAGCAATGACCCAGCAGGCTAGCAAAAACATTTGAATAAACACCACATCAGAGGCCACAGAAGACTCCGTGCATCATTGGAACTTGTCTCAATTAAGTTTTATCTAAGTTCCAGGGCAAATCAAAGTATTTCTCACCATGAAATATGACTTGCCATAAGAAAACCAAAAAGCAATGGCAGTGATGAGCCTTGTAGTACAGAGGTTGCTGATTTAAGCCAAGACACCTCTGCCTAGTGTATTCAGTGAAACACGATGTAGATTTCAGCAGTGCTGAAATTGGCCAGCGAATCAACAAGCTCAAAAACAATAAGGTCATATAACAATTCTAATTTACTGTTGCTAGAAATAGGGTGGGACAGTGGCACAGCAGTTGGCATCGCTGCCTCACAGATCTGGGGCCCTGAATTCAAATCCTGGGGTTCTGTCTGCGTGGAGTTCGTATGTTCTCCCTGTATTCACGTGGGCTTCCTCCTTGGCCCGCTTGTGGGTGTCTCTGCCCATGACTGCCCGGCAATGGACTGGCGTCCCATCCAAGGTGTGTCCTGCCTTTCTCCCATTGCATGTTGAGACAGGCTATGGACCCCAGACTGGGGACTGGGGTTCTGCAGGAGTTCACGCACAATTTGCTGTCTGTAGAGAGGGATTCATTGGACTTCTGCATCCCTCAGCCACACACTGAACCTCACAGCCGCCAGGTTAAGGGATTTCTTTGTTGTTAAGTTTGTCTGTTCCTCCTGTGTCCAGGGGCGGTTTTTCCGGATGTTCCTGTTTCCCCTCACCTTCCAAAGACGGGCCTGTGTCTATCAATTGTTCCTGCGTGTGCAAGGTGGACGGGCGTCTCATCCAGAGAGTAGTCCTGCCTTGTGGCCTCTACTTCCAGGATAGGCACTGGTTGCCATGACGCCCACCAGGAATAAGCAGCTTTTAGAGAACGGATGCTCCTCATTTTAGGAGCATCTTCATTTCTCGCTTGCTGCTTCGGGGGTTTGCGACGGTCCGCTGGGTTGCTTCAATTTCTAAAAACAGCGGTCGGAAGAATTATAACCTCGCCTTGAACTGTCTAGGAGCCACATTTTCCATGCGCCCTTCAGAACAATTGCCCGTTTGTCCGACTGTTGTCGTCGGCGTGTTGCATTTGTGGGCCTGAGAGCCGATTCCAAGCGTGGGAAATATTTAGCGCCGCGGATCCGCGCGGCTTTAGGTTCAGCCATCTGCCCCCGACACGTCCCCCCTCTCTGTCGCTGTTTCAGTATTCACACCCTTGAGCACCCAGGAAGAACGCCTACAGCACCGTGGGCTTCTTTTAATAGAGCGCGGAAGCTTTCAGCTTCTGGGACTGTGCTAAAAATAGACAGAGATAAGGTCATTGGGGAGTGCTTTATATAAATGGGATTGGGGCCCTTCGTTTTGTTAGCTGCTCTCCCACTTCCAGCGAAATTTTCAGAGCCTCCGGGTAGGGGGCTTTGTCTGAAAGCCACTGTCACATCCCTCTCCAACGGTGGCCGTTGCTGTTGGCGACGCGCAGTGAGTCAGTGGTCAAGCTCAGGCTTGAACTGGGAAAATCCATAGAGAGGAGGCCGTTTTTTTCTCCGCCACTCTGGCAGATTTTTCCCTCCACCTCGCGGGGCCTAGTTCCAGCTGTGCCCCGGCCTCCGTCGCCCGCCTGGGAGCAGAGGAGCCAAAGACTTCCATCTACTTCTAATCCCCGAGCTTAACGGGGAGCAGAGCGCTTGTGCTTCGTCAGAAGACGCAGCCGTGCTGTTGAATCCTGGGAGACTGAGCTGAGCCACAGTGACACCCTCTAGTCTCTCAGGGCAGTAGCGAGTGTGAGATGTGCAGCTCGTCCCTGGCCAAGACTCACTCTGCTGTCTGTCAGGCCTCTGGAAGTGTCTGAACAGAGCAGAACAGCCCAATAGCAGCGCAGTAGATAAACGTGCTGTGCGGAAAGACCGACCTCTCACCACAGAGGGCTCGAATGTTGCTGGGAGTCCCAGGCGAGTGACGTCTCCATGCCAGTCTCTTTTAAGGCCAGGAGGCACGTTACACTGACTCCCTCTCAACCTCTTAACTCGGCACCGCCCTCCGAGCCTGAAAGGCACCAGTCTCAGTGGTCTAAGTCACGGCCCTGCTGTGGAGAGCAGAGCTCTTCCCTAGAAAGGATTTATCTCTCGGAAGCATCTCCCAGCCTGTGAGTCACACAGCCCACGTGTGTAGCAGATGAGCCCGACGCATCAAAAGACTGACTGCTCCGCATGTCCCGGTGGAGTCACGCTGTGATGGAAGGAAGGACAGGAAAATGTCTGTAAAATGACAGAACGCAGTTCGTTGGCTATATTGACTTGGCCTCTGGTTTCAGTGGTCTAAACAGGGTTAACAAATACAGAACATACCTTTTAAAGGATATCTTGTTTATCATCTGTTGTTTTCAGGGAGTTTTACCATTTGTTTTCTGTGGTAATGCCAACCAAAGGCGCACGTTTTCTTTTGAGTGGGCTGCTAGTTGACCAAATCATGGTTTCAGGGAACTCAGACCCATCTTTGTGGTGACTCTGAAGACTACAGCTAGAAATCCCTGTCTCACTGTTGAAGGTCTGCGGTCAGCTTATGTTAGTGCTTTCTTCCTTGTTCTGCGAGATCAAGCCTGCTGGAATCCTTTCACCGGGGAATCCTGGGTGACATCACCCCTTAATTCTTTTCACTCGTTTAACAAGACATGGGTCTACCACAAAATAACAAATAATCATGATGTCGTGTTACAGCTGGGTGACTTTGTCATGGAGAAGAATACAAAGTTCTGGAAGCACTCCAAACAAATCCGAATCCCACATCACATCACTGTGCTTCAAGGCAGGAGAACGATTTTGCAACATGAATTCCAGAGGTATTGAGCAATCCTTGCTCTGGGTCTTGTTTTCCTCTTCTCATTCCCCATCTGATCTGTGACCTAGAACAGCTGAATTAAAAACAAATACAAAAATAGCAGAAGCAGATGTTAGCACAGCTCCAGGGTCCCTGGGTTCAATTCCAGACTGGGCTACCTTCTGTGTGGAGTCTGCATGTTTCTACTGGTTCTTTGTGCCCAGAGCTCTGGTTACCTCCTATTCCTAGTGCCATTCTGGTAGGTTAATTACTGTCTCCAAATTATCCCTGTGTGTGCCCTGTCTTGCACTCTGTATTTTTGGGAGAGATTCTGGGCTGCTGCAACTCCCACCAGGAATAAGTGCCTTCCTAACAATGCGTGGGAGAAAAAACAATTCTAATTATGTTGGGCATAACAATTCAAAACACACACAGCAAGACTGTGGCTGTCAACACCACAGACTGGCCTGTAACTTTGACTGCATCGCTGTCCTAGGAAAATCATATCGTTTTGTGAATAACCTGGGCACTTCGAACCTCGACAAGGACACACTTTGTACTGCAGGATTTATGTTTCCAGCGGCCTGACGGGATGACCTAACTCTTGTCCTGAGATTTCAGTATCTGGGCTGACTTCCTGCACGTGTCTTCCCCCACTTGTTAAGTGGCATTTGTAAGCCACTTTGACAGTGAGCGCTTGTACTTTTGGTGAGTAAGAACATGGTCTGGCTATACTGGAAGCTGCTGTCGTGGATGAACCATCACAAGATTTTTGTTACTCTCCCAAAACAATTTGGAGATGATTCGTATGGAGCCTCCGACTAGCACAGAATGTCCGTTTCTTAATGTATGCAGGCAGTAAGGAAAAGCCTCTTCAATTATCGCGAGTTTGACATTGAAATAGCAAACATAAATTTTTTCTATCACTCACTATGAATTCTTAATTATCGGCTTTCCTCTTTTATTATAGGACGTCGCTCACTGCGCGGTTGTCTTGAGAAACTAATGCTAAACAAAATGTCAAGCTGTACAAAATGCGATTTTGTTCGCTTTGCGTGCAGAAATGCTTGGGTGATGTTCATTGTGGTACGACTGGCTGTTTGCGAGACTCGTTTTTTCATTAGACACCCGGGGGCTGCGCGGGGTTATTTGTGAATGCAGCGGCAGAAAACTTCTGCGCATTACACAATGCTCTCTCGTTGATTTCTGGACGGCTTTGAGCACGCGTATCTCAGCTGCCATGTCCGCTTCTATAATTCATAGGGTCCGACAACTAACATTACACCTGTATCGTCAGACTCACCACCATCAAGGAGGCAAGAGAAAGGAGTCAGAAGGAATCAGTGAGCATTGCCGTCGGCAGGCTGTCATCGACATCACATTCACAGTAATAGTTTTTAATAAGCTCACAGCATGTGAAGTACAATGTGATATGTGCTGTAGGGACAGTAACACTCTCTGAAAATGTCGTTTTCTGTACCAGTGGTATCATTATCCTCATTTTCATGCGGAAAATCGCAGGTCTTTCTGTACTATACAAAAATAGGCTCATGTTCATCTTTTCAGCTCTGCGAGTGTCGAATCTTTACGGGGGGGGGGGGTTGATTGTGTAATGATGAAAGTAGAGGCTTCGTTTGAAAACCACCTGCCCGAGTGGAAACGAGACACAGCTGGCTTAATTGAATAATTGGCATCCAGTGGGAGAGAGAGATTCCACATGAGGAAATGAGCAGATATGATTGGCTCTGTGGGTGACTGGCCACGCCCCTGGATTAGTGAGCTGGTGGATAATAGCAGGAGGTAGAGGAGGGTGGCTTGTGTTTGAAATTTACAGGAAAGATACTCAGAGTGTGAAGAAGAGATTGTAGGGTAGTCCAGTGTGCAAAAGGGGACGTCCTGTGGGCTCCTTTGTGGTAATACTACAGTACCTTGTGGTCTATGGAACAGAGATTCTCATAGGTATGTGGGTGAAGATCTTGCAAGGATTATGGTTAGGAAAACATGATTGAGGAATGATAGCATTTTGTGGCCCAGAGTCACTCTAATGGATTATATTGGTGTTTAATTCATAATGCTTCACCGTGTCTTAGTGCTTTGCAGTACTAAGGCCCTGAATTCATTCCTGGTGTGTGTGTGTGCCTGGAGATGGACTGGTGTCCTGTCCAGGGTGTATTCTGCCTTGTTCCCCTTGCTTGCTCTGCCTTCCCTGCAGCCATGTTGTGGACAGATTAGAAAATGGAGGGATGGACTCCATGAGCATCATTAAGGAGGGTCATGTGTTGGAGAACTGCATGTAAGGGATTATGTTAAATGCTCCAGGGTGTCTCTGTATAAAAGGGACAATCTTGCATTTTTTTGTAATGGAGATAGATTAATTCTGTCTAGGCTTCCTCTGAAGGAAGGATGGATGAGTTCATCTGAAAAGAGGTAGTGACTGTGTTTAAGATCGCCGTGGGAAGAGCAACAGAACGGTGGACTGTGCGGGCTTCCTTTTCAGGTGAGCGCCCCTAGTCTGTTAGGGGTTCTGCCGAAAAGACGCGCGGAGACCGCGCACGCTTTCAGGTGGCCCGTTAGCCGTGGGCAACCCCCACGCGTGAACCAGGCTCGTCCTCCGCTTTTCTGGGAAGGGACACTAACGTTTTGTAGGACTTGGGTAGAATACATCATACGCGTGTCTCTAACATCTCTGCGTAATGAGCGCCCGTCCGAAGGCAGTTCTTGGGGAACCCGATTGTCTTAAGTGTAAGAATATAACGCTCACGTCAGGTCTTTTAAGGAATCCGACGTCACGGCGTCGTGTGTATGTACTCTTTCCCAGACCTGAGCACGGGCAGGCGAGATTAAGTTTCAGAAGTCAGCTTTCTGACGCCAGAGGGTTTTCCTGTCTCCTCGGGGAGGGGGGACGAGCTGATTGTGTCGGAAGGTGAGGTTTTCCGGCAGCCCTGCAGAGCCAGGAAGGTCACGTCGCTGAAAGCGCGTCCGTGGAGACAGTCCTTATGCAATAACCTCCCAGCCATTTCCCGTTCTGCCCTTATTCCCCCTCTTTCTAAGAAAAAGAAACAGCCGTGCCTGGGGGCGGGTTAGCGCTGTTTCAGCTGCTTTCTTTCTATTGAAGTAATCGCATCTGGTAGACTGCTTACAGCACATGCTGTATGGCAACATCCCCAATAATAACAGTTAATATTGCCGTAAAAGAGAACATGAAGTATATATTAAAGTTTTAGTCGGGGTGCTGTGCTTTTGGGTTTTCAGCATTATTTATTCGAGGATATCTTACTTTGTTTATATATCCTGCAACAGACGTCATGCACTTGCGCACCAGCCGTTCCCGTCTTCTGTCCTGGTCTGTGGGTGGTCGCAGCACAGGGCGGTCTGCTGCCATTCCGAAGGCCGCAGCCTCCGGTAGAAGTCCCTTAGCTTGGTCTGCTGCTTTAACCCACCCTGCACCGTCAACCTCCTAAAACAGCACGTTCCTGCAGCTGCCCCTGAGCGGCAGTACCCCCGTTTCAGCTCGGGGAGCGCTGTAACAACAACGTGATCTTCAGTTGAAAGGAAATTAAGTATCGCCTCCACAGACAAAAAAAAAAAGCACACGCTTATCCATTAACGTGTGACGTTATCTTAACTACAAATCCAAATCAAAAACAACAGTGACCGTTTCAGCGTTGGTCTTCGGGAGGAAGAATCGTATTTTGGCGTTTTATGTACCTTTTGTGCAAGATGTTGGAGCTGAAACACGTCCAATGGGCGGGGCTACAGTCGTGGGTTTACTTGAATATAGCGATGCATTTTTTTTAATTACTCGATAAACTGTAATAAAACAGGCATGTAACGAAGTAGTAAAAGGGAGAATTGTGTGCAATATCTTTAAAGTCAAAGCTATACCCTAACCCAACGGCGACGGTCAAAAAGTCTAAAAAGGGGGCCAGATTTTGTTTGCAATACGAAACTACCGATGTTGTGGAATTTCTTTTGGACAATGAATTAGTTTTAACAGTCCCCTAGATGATGAATAAAAGATGGCATTTTTCAAACCAGAGCGAAGGCATCTGTTTTAGGTTTCTGTAACAGCCGGAGGCTCATAACACTGCGAAGGACGGGTAAACAAGAGGATGTCACCTCGCAAGCAGAAAATACAAAGAACGTGTGATATTTACCACCTGCCATGCAGTCAGAGGTGCCACAAAGCACACATTCAAAAGTCTGTCTTAATGTACTGTAGACCGTCCTTTAAAGCATCGTTGTTCGGGTACCACCAGAACCCTTTCCATGAAGAAACATACGTTCTCTTATTTTCTCTTTTGTTAAACCTACTGCATGCATGCATTCGTGGTTATAAAGACCAGTTATTTACCTTGCTCAAAGTTACAGGTACCGGGGAAAAAAAGCTTTTCAAACACGGGCTGTAAGGCGTTCTTCGGGGGCATGTAAATTACAGTCGCTCTGTATGTGCGACACAGACATAATTGTCCATTTCAGATCCTCTGTAAATATACCTGTCCGCCTTCGAGATAGCTATGAAGTTTTATTCTATTACAGTATTTTTCTTGCTAATCCCGGCAGACGTGTATAGGCATTTAACGAGACAGAACTGTGAAATAAAGCCGGTTGAAAATTAAATTAACCCGCAGCTCTCCTAAGCCTGTCATTTAGGAGTTTTAGCTGCATAAAATTTCTGAGGGGCAATCAGATTTTTACTTTTGTCAGATGAACTGTGCTTTTCCTAAGCCCTCTTGACAGCTCGTGTTATTATTTAACTGTAAAAAAAAAAAACTAGAATCCTCCTGATAAGCTTCAATTTTGGATGGCTAGCTTATTGTTCAGCTCTGACCTGTTGTGATCTCTCCTCAGGGCAGAGGAAAAAAAAAAACCGCCCACAAATATCCGTCGGGGCAACGGGCATCATCCAGGGCTTTGTCTAGGGCTACATCTCAATGTAAGTCGTCTTCGTTTAATGTCACTGCGGGGAGAGATGGAGAATCGACTGATCTCGCATCACACTCGCTGGCGCTCTGCTAGAGCTAAGCGAGAAACGCACGTTCATGGGGAAACGGAGCAATTGTACACCAGCCTGCACACAGCTAGCTCGAAATGTGGCTTAGTATCTGAGCTGTGAAGTGCAAGCATCTTCAGAATATGAAAGCCTAACGCATGTGCATGAAGACAACATTTCCTTCCTATAATACCCCCTTCCAAAATGGTCTACAGTATTGTTACACCACACAAGTCCTTGTCATGAGTAACACTCCGTCAGAGATGTGGAGCAGGTCAGAACAGTGGGGGAGTCTGTCACAGACAGACTTGGCATGCCGATAACTGCTTTGGGGTTTTTACAGTAAATATGTGGGTCATCTTTTCTTTGTATACCTTGGGTTTGACCCAGGAGTCTCCAGTCTGAAAGGCTCACCTTGGGTCTAAGTGACTAATCGCAAGGAGTTGTTCTCGGAGTGACCTCTCGGTGGGATCAAATTAACATAATTAATTCGACCTAAACTTCCAGGAGTGCTTATCCTGGCCATGTGGATTGATTGTCTGTGGTAAAGCATCTGTAAAAATTATTTCAGTAATAATAGTAATAAACTGCCAACAGAGCAGACTTTGGCCGTAAAATAGGAACCTTTGAGAATTCAGTGTTAAGAATAAATTAAGGACTAATTTCTAAACTGTATTGAGAAATTGTCATTAATTACCTTGAGTGGGATCTTGCCATCAAGAACAGTATATGAAAAGCGGGAGAAATAGTTTTGTTGACCATATAAAATATTCTCGCCAGGAGTTGGGTATTTGATGTTTGGTGCTCATACTGTCCTAAGTGATTATCATACAATTGTGCTTTTTTTAAAGGCTGTAGACTTTTCAGTCATTATTGGATCGCTCTCGTTGAAATAACCCACTTCCACTTAGCCTTCATAATAAGGCAACCCTCCAGGTTTGCATAACAATTCATTTGCCATTTCCACACAGAGGGGTTGGGGATTATTTAAGAAAACCGAAAAGGCTGACAAGTACAGTAATTTGGACAGCATGATTATTAGCTTTGTTTAACACTCTGTTGGATTTAAACAGAGCTAGTACTACCACTCTGCAGACAAGTAGGAATTATGCGTTTGGACAGTTTTCATTCCTGTATCCACAGCTGTTTAGATGTTTATGCAGGAGTTTAGCAGTAATCCTCCATTTAATCTAATTACAACTGTAATATACAGAGAATAATATAAAATGATGGTGTGCTCTCTCAATATTTCTTGTATTTATGAAGTATTTCATGCTGGAGGATCCCGAACTGTACATGTAGGAGTCAACCCACCTCATCCTTCACTGAAGTGCATCTCCCGCCGGGATGATGAACACGGTGGCTAAGGTGCAGAAAGTGAGAAATCACTTCACCAATTGAATGAAGAGGGAACTTTAAGGTGGCAGACTGTACAGCCCCAGAGTGGAATTTAGCCAGGACACCAAGGTTAACGCTTTCAGGAACTTTGCTTTGGGATCTTTAATGACTGTATAGGCAGGACTCTGGTTTAATGTCTCATCCAGGTAGTTCCTCTTACAACAGTGTCATCATAATGGAAATTGGTTGAGGAATTCTACTGTGGATGGAAGAGCACCACCTACTGGTTGGGGTCACCACTCACTTGGGGCTGCATCCTGCTTTTCCTTCGAGGTCTCTCATCCCAGTACTGACCAGACTCGGACTTCTGCAAGGTGGTAATGCTGAAGACAGAAACGCTCCCATAGCTGTTTTGTAAAAATTGCAGATGCTTGTTACAGTAACCTATCTCACCAGGTCTTCCCTTTGCGAGCTCGGTGATCTGTAGAAACACTTTGGCATACCACTCTGGGTCAGTCCTGTTTCCCAGTGGTCCAGCATGTCCAGCACAGTGACAGCTTGAGAAGGCTCATTCGGTCATGTTGAAATCAAGCTCAAACCACAGGTTGGCCATGTGATGGCAACTTGAAATTGCAGTGAGGGGAGGTGGGGGAATTGCAGTGGACAACATTGCTGTCTTGCAGTAGTGGGTTCAGTTCTGCACTATGGGGGCTGTCTGTGTGGAGTCTTTATGTTTTCCTCTGTGTCAATGTGTGTTTCCTCCCACAATCCAAAGTCATGCTGGTAAGCTAATTGGCTTCTGGGAAAATTGATTCTGGTGTGACTGTCAGTGTCTGGGTGACGTCCCATCCAGGGTGTACCCCTCCTTGTGCCTGTTGCTTGCAGGGGTCAGCTCAGGCTCCCCTGCCACACCGAATGTGAAGAAGGGGTTAGAAAATGGAAAATACTGCACAGTGTCAAGGAAATGGACAAGGTTGTATAGTTTAATGAGAGCTGGGACCCCGTGGTTTTAAAGCTCTGTTGCCTGTGACACCCTGCAGCACCAGGGGACCTCACAGGTTGGACTGGTATTTCTGCGGTTTGAGCATCAGCTGTTGGTGATCAGAAACGCCTGTGATTTCACTGACCGTTCCATGCCAGTTGTTTCTATCTGTCGGCAATTGGTGTTTCTGCAAGCAGCAGCACGGTTTTTGCTGCAGACAGACACATCAATTGCTCTTCCTGCTTGACTTTTCAACCCCCCCCACCACCACCACCACCAAAAAAAAAGCCTCTTTTCAAGAAGTCAGATGTGGGTCGTTGGAGTGGCTGCTGCAATTTTAATGTATGAGTGTCTGAGTATCATTTCAGGAGAGAACAATGAGAAACTGTCGGCGAGGACTGAAGTGAAACTCAAAGTCTCATGCCGTTGCCTTTACCGAGCAACACAATTCACGGTATTCATCAGCATCAATTAGCTTGTCACTTGTAGATGAGCTTTAAAAATAAGTTTTGCAGGAATTAAGGCAGTGTGGAAGGACTTCATTCTGATCCAATGTCAGGTACTCGAGAGTGTGTGCACTAGAGTACACAGTGTTTGCTGTTATAATCCTTATCTAAACACTGTATAACACTAGGGTGTCTAAATTAACAAACCTTAATTAAATATGTTCACTTAGCGTAAAAAAAAAAAGGTCACTGTTCTCCTCCCCACTGATAGCTGCTGTCGCATCATCCAGGTGGGGCTGCACACTGGTGGTGAAGGGGATCCCCATTACCGGTAAAGGTCTTTGAGTGGAGTGTCCAGAAAAACACTATAGAAGTGTAAGGGTATTTATAAGACTTCATTTTCCTTCATTCCTTTGAGCCCAGGAATGCATCTGGACTCCTCCCAGAGCTGTGATGTCTTTTTTTTTTTTGTAACCTGGTGACCAAACTGGTAATGAACTATCACTCCTGTTTTGCTCAGTTTTAATGAGTCCCTTGACGTAGATTCTGCACTTTCTAACACCTCGTTGGCAGGGGAGGTGTTTTGCCGAGAGACAGTTCGACGAGGCAGAGCTCTTGAGGATCAGAAACCAGGTGACTTCGAAGGACCAAATGGCCAGCCTTCCCTCTGTGGTCTTCCTGATGTTCGGGGATAATCGGGACCTATTATGAGTGTGGATGTACTGTGGCAGGATCCAAATTCGCGCCAGGCCCACATTGATATTAACATGCTTCATCTGAATAGGGAGCCTTCAAAGGCAGAGTAGCTTGTCATTCCCAGTTTGCTTTTTAAATGGAAACATAACCCTTCCATTACAGCGCCTGATATAATTATCCCAGGTCTATTTTTTTCCCTTCTTTCTCTGTTTTGTTGCCAGTTGAGCCTCTGCCTAGTTGCCATGGAAACTGGAATAGCGAACAACCTGAGAGCAGGCTGTCCTCTTCAGCAAGGCCCTCCCTCCCCGCCAAACATCAAACCCCCACAGGAAGCTCTTGCGGTTCTTGATTTTCATATTTTCCCGAGGAGCCTGATGTTATTCTGGGCACAGGCAGGTGAGGAATGAGCTGGAGATTCACCTCAGATATTTTTCCCCTCCAAAAATCTGTTTTGATGTTTCATCTTTTCTCCGCCTCAAAGTTGTTTTTCTTTCAGGACGTTTTAGCATTTAAGCTGAATGTACAGCGGGTTTTATACGCGCTCTATTTAAATCCAGCAGTCGGCTTTCGGTTGGAGGTTTGGTACAGAAAGAAGAATAAATCCATCTGTTTTCCTGGTTCTTCGCAGGGTA